CTTAGACACGCCAGGCGCAGCCCCCTTCCGAGCAGCTGAGGCCCATCCTCTCTCCCCAGGGCCAGGGCTCGAGAGCACCCTCCAGTCCACAGATCTGGTCCTGCACTTGCCCAGCTCAAGAGCCTCCCATGGCTCCTACGGCCCCAGCCCATCTCCTGCCACATCCTGACTCCCACTGCCACCTCAGCCCACCGGCTCCCGGCTCACGGCAGACGCCAGCCTGGCCCCAACCACATCTCCTCTGCCCTGCGGGCTCCCTGCCTCTGTGTGGGCTGGAAAATGGCTTCTCATCCTTAAAGATTCCTAGCTCACGGCAACCCAGCCCTCAGGCCGGCCAATGCTGCCCCCGTGCTCCTCCACTCGGCTTTCTGACAAGTCTGGTCCCCCACCAAGGGGAGAGCACTCGAGGGCAGGGCCCAGGTCTGTCGAGAGCAGAGGCCGGGAACTTGCTCTGAATGAAGGTGAATGCGCCCCCAGCCCCAAGCCTCGGCACAGGCTGTTCCTCAGCCAGACGTCCCCCTTCCTTCTCCACTCAACGGCTTCACCACGTGACCGGTCCAGGCAAGCCCTGCCTGTCCTCTCCCCACTCTGGGCTGGGACCGTCCAAGTTTTCCACCTCAGTCTGGTTTCTCAGTGGATCACTGGCCTGGCCCAGTGGGAGATGAGGGGCAGGGGTGGCATATGCACATGTGTGCGTGCACGTGTGTGCCACGCGTGAGCAGTGTGGCCTCACCTCCGGGAGGGCAGCCGCCGGCGCATGCGGTGACAGTCCAGCACCCACTCCTTACGCACAATCCGGCCGCCAAGGCCCAGGACCTGGCTGTACTTGGGCGTGTTGGCAAAGGCGCAGCTGTGGGGAAGAATGGAGGGGTGTCAGTCGGGCATGATCTGAGGGTAGAGGGAAATGAAATAGACAAGGAGACAGAGGCGGTGACAGAGAAGAGGAGGGAGACACGGGGATGGATACAGTGGACACAGGAGGCAGCAAAGGGAACCGGGACCCGAGGGAGGGGTGCAGGAAGCAGAGACAGAGAGAAAGAGGCAGGAGATTCAGAGAGCCGGGGAGACAGGGGGATAGACAGGAGAGCAAGATGGTGCTGACGGGACACTCGGGGAAGAGAGGGCGGAGCGGCTGGAGAAGGGCTTACATGAGGTGGGTGCTGTCCGGGGTCCAGTCTGGCCGATACTTGGCTCCCAGCTCAAGGGCCTTGTCCCGGAGCTCGGAGCGGAAGGGGTTCTGGAAACCGCTCAGTACCACCACCACGCCCTGAAGGATCTTGCCCAGCTCCTGGGGGCCAGTCTGGGGTCCCTGGGGCTCACTGCCTTCTTTCTGGGGCTTCCCTGGCACTGTCCCACGTGCTGGGGTAGGGACTGGGGCCGTGGCTGGAGGCCGGGAGGGAGCTGGCACTGGGAAAGCAGAAGAACAGAGGTTCCGTTAGCGTCAGCCTCCCAGCCCGGTCTCAGCCCTCCCCAGAGCCAGGGTCCAGGCCCCTCCCCAGACCCAGGGGTCCAGGCCCCTCCCCTCTCACACCCAGGGGTCCAGCCCCCAGCCCCTTTCTCCCATGGGAACAAGTCATCTGGTTTGCTCACATCTGGGTTTCTTGGGGACGGGTGGTGAGGGCTGGGTTGATGGTTTGCTAGGGGCCTTCCGTTCTTCCTGGTTCAAATCCAGCTTCCGCTTCCCCTTGGGGGACTCTTGAGGCTGAGGGGACAGGGGTGTGGTGAGTTCTCCAGCTTCTCTTCTCTATCTCCACCCCACCGAAGTGTGATGGTCTCACCTTGGAGACACTACCCACAGCTCTGAACGCCAAGGAGGGGCAAGATGCGGCACTGGAGGCCTGGAGCGTGGCGGCTGCATAGCTGGGTCCTGCCTGGTCACCGGCTGTGGCTAGAGGGAGAAGGGTGGGGGGCTGGGCCCTGAGGCCTTTCAGCTCCAACCCATGGAGCATCTAGTAGGCTCCCCAAAACCCACCAGTGTCCCAGGAGTCTAAGCTCTCCGTTTTCCTTTCCCTCAGACCTAGGAGGCAGCCCCCAGCCCCTTCCTCCTTCACACCCACAAGTCTGGGCCCCCAGCCTCCTCCTCCCTCAGGCCCAGGAGTCCAGACCCCAGCCCTTCTGCCCTCCGAGCCAGGCCAGTGGCCTTCTCCACCCACCTGGGGCTGTTTTGTTGACCCGGCTGAAGAACAGCGCTCCTGGTCTCAGGGAGCTGCCACCCTCGTCCTCCTCCTTCACTCGGAACTGGCCAAGCTTGGTCACCTTCTAAGGTCCCGCAAGGTCAGTGCTGCAGGGTGGCTGCCGGCGGGTGAGGGTGAAGAGGTGGGAGAAGGAAAGGCTCTGGGGGTGGGCAGAGCTTACCTGGGCTGAGGCTTCTGCCTCATCTTTGTATGGGGGGCTGTGAAACCGAACAAAACTCAGGCCATAGGGGGCGTCCTGGGAAAGGAGGATGGGTGTCAGAAGCCTCTCAGCGGCCCTTCCGAGATCCGAGACACCTGGCTCCTTTAACTAAGGGAAAGCCACTCCTGGCTCTTTTCTTCTCACAGACATTTACACCTCCAGGGAGGTGCCCCAGTGCCAATGACTGGTACCGACTCAGCTGAGGTGAGATTTCTAAGCCCTCTCCACAGATGAGCTCAGTCAGCCCTCACAGTAACTGGCAGAGATGCCTGGGTGTCCACGC